GGCCATTTACTGGCAAAGGACGTCGTAAAGTGATACTGCTTCATGACAATGCCCGACCTCATGTTGCGAAAGTGATTCAGGACCATATCTTTGCGTTAGGCTGGGAACTTCTCCCGCACGCGGCGTATAGCCCAGACATGGCGCCTTCCGATTACTACCTATTCCGGTCTCTGCAGCATTTCTTGGCTGATACACATTTTGTGACACTTGAAGAGGTACGAAAATGCATTGATGACTTTATCGCCTCGAAGCCGGTGAGCTTCTACCATCAGGGAATTCGCAAGCTGCCCGAAAGATGGCAAAAGGTCATTGATGCAAACGGGGAATATTTCGTTGATTAATATAGTTTTGTTTGTTTTTAAATAAATTTTGAATTCTGCAAAAAAAGCTCAGAACTTTTTTGCGCTCCTAATACAAAATATTTCGTAAAACATTCACATTCCGATAGTCTTATCTTACATGATCCAACCAGTCAAGGCAAGACCCGAGCATGATCCAACCAGTCAAGGCAAAATCCGAGCATGATCCAGCCAATCAAGACGAGATCCTGTATTGCGTGATAATCAATGAACTGTAACAATTGTGAAAGTGCAATTGTCAATTCTTTTAATGAAACAAATATCAAGAGGCTTGTTTCAAATTTCTTACTTGGGCAACTGTCGGTATTTTGGCGAAGTCTCAGACAGACGCATATTATTATCCATTGACTTTTTTTTGATAAGACAGGAATTTTTTGTTTTTTGGCGCTTTTTTTCTTTATAATTATGGCTGCTTATCCACCAAATGAAATTGTGGACATGATTCACATTTTGGGTGAGGCTAGGAATAATTACTCGGCAGTAGAAAGGCTTTATGCTGAAAGATTTCCAGACAGACGCCATCCTGATAGGAAATTAATAAAAAGATTCTGCGACAGAGCTGAACAGGGTTTTCTTAGAAGAAACCAGCGAAAATCGGGCCGTGATGAAGTCACATCATTAACTGTTATAGGTGCCGTTGCTTTGAATCCTCAAATCTCTACGAGACAAATTGAAAGGCAATACGGTATATCTAAATCAACAGCCAATCGTTTGCTCAAGCTCAATAAGCTTCACCCATATCACATTCATCTAACTCAGCAATTGGAAGAGAGGGACTACCAACGCCGTGTACGTTTCTGTAACTGGGCTCGAGATCAAATCCAACAAAATCCCCGGTTCATTGCTGATACGCTTTTTTCTGATGAAGCCACGTTTTGTAATAGAGGAGGCGTTAATAGACATAACTGCCATTATTATTCAGATGCTAATCCACATTGGCAGAGAAGCCAAGAGTTCCAACGGCAGTGGTCCATTAACGTTCGGGCAGGCATCCTGGAAGATGTTATTGTTGGTTCATATTATTTTGAAGAAAATCTCAATGCGGCAATCTATCTAAAATTTCTTCAAGATGACCTGCCCAACCTCTTGAGACATGTCGACAATGATTTACTCAGACGAATGTGGTTCCAACAAGATGGAGCACCGGTTCATAGATCTCGAGCTGTTACACAATATTTAAACAATAGATTCCCGAATAGGTGGATTGGTATGGGCAGCCGAGTTCAGGAATGGCCCCCAAGATCAACCGACTTGACACCCCTAGATTTTTATTTCTGAGGCTACATTAGAGATATAGTTTATTCGTAAAAGCCTACAATAGTTGAAAATCTGAAAAACCGGATCAGACAGGCTTGCAGAAATATTAATGTAGGTGTTCTTGAAAAAGTTAGGGACGACTTTCACTATAGACTAGAGCTATGCATACAAGTAAATGGCCAAGTTTTTGAACACTTTAAGTAATTGTACACAAAAGAAGATCTTGCCTTGACTGGTTGGATCATGTTCGGATCTTGCTTTGACTGGCTGGATCATGCTCGGATCTTGTCTTGACTGGCTGGATCATGCTCGGATCTTGCCTTGACTGGCTGGATCTTGCTCGGATCTTGCCTTGACTGGCTGGATCATGCTCGGATCTTGCCTTGACTGGCTGGATCATGCTCGGATCTTGCCTTGACTGGTTGGATCATGTAAGATAAGACTATCGGAAAGTGAATATTTTACGAAATATTTTGTATTTTTATCAAAATTTTGTAAAGCTGCAGCTTTATAACTCGAAAAGTACTTCACCAAGAAACATTTGATTATAGTGTTTTGGGAAGCTCTCGAAGTCAGCTACAAGAATATGTAATAGAAAATAGGGAGTGACATCTAAAAAAATTGAGGTAACCTTCACGTGACCTTCAAATGACTCTTCAAGATCAAATCAATGATACCATTTTATGGCCCCCTCGAAACCATACAAAACGTATCTGAACCATTTTTCTCTAAAATAAAAAATAAGAGAGACATTTGGGGTGGACACTTAAAATGGGACACCCTGTATATATTGTTACGTCTCAGCTCCTATTTTTCCTTCCTTTTCCTTATTTCTTTTTTATCCTTATCGAGCGGTACATCTTGCAATCTGAACTTCCGGTTCTCCCCTCCCTCGTTCGATATGGACTAGGATTATATTATGTTGACATTCGTAACGGCGACCTGTAATTGTGACTAGCATTTTATTTTAAGTTAATGCGTTAGCTTTAATACCTCTTATTATTCTTTTGTATATGGAAAACCTTGTGTTAAATTTCCGACACCGGCGTGTGTTTAATTTGATATATCGATTTTGGGTGACACATTTTATATGCTAGACTCAACATATGAATTGTGTTACTTTTTTCTGTTTTTTTTCTTTTCGGCACTTCTGTTTTATGTTAATTTGACACATCGTTTTCTACAGCGCGCGTATGCTTTATCATTGCTTACGCAGTCTCAAGAATAACAGCCCGGTTGCGCGAGGGCTTGGCTATTATTTCTTACTATTATTCCAAATTATTTTTATCATAGCGAACAGACTATACAGCTTCCCCATCTCTTGCTTCTTAACAATAAAAATAAGCACTAAGTGTGGGAAAGTTGTGTTATAACCGTTAACAACTTTTCTAATCGTTATCTTTATAACTCTGCAGTATAAGCATTGTGATTCTACGAATCTCATAACTGTTTTGCGTCAGCAGCACGGCCCAGCTTCGCTCTCAGGGATCTCGGATGGAAGACAAGGCATATCGCGTCGTAATTCTCCACCTTGTTTCTTTCATCCGACATATCGCTAAACTTTACGTATTATCCGGTTATTAGATCAAAGCGTTAGAAATGTAGTGTAAAGAAATAAAAACCTATCACTATAAAATTGTACTACCCCCGTTTGCCACTCTCCGTTAGAATTATTGAACTTGTTGCGCCGAATTCGCCAGGAACGCTTCCTTGGCCTATCATTGTATCGCGTCGTACCTAAATTCGCGATTGCCGCATTATTGTCCACCCGCGGTTGACTATAAAATTGTAAACATTTTCATTCTAAGATAACCGAACTGTTTAGGCGACACTTTGGCGGGGTTCTTATCGTTGTTGCATCCGGGTATCGAGTAACTCGCGTCTTGCTCCGACACAAAGAAGAAGGACTCCTCGGCCCATTGGCGAACAGCCCGCTTCTTCACTCTCGTTGAGGCCGTCACACGTTTCGGACGCGTGTTCACAAGTCTCTCCTTAACTATTGTACTTAGAGACTCTTCAAATTCCATCATTTCGTGACGGTCTCTCATATTCTCGTATATCTCCTTTTTTTCTTTCTGGTTCTTTCTCATTACAATTGTTGCAACCAAGTGTATTCGTGATTTCAACCAATTTCTCGATCTTCTTAATTAATTCGTACAAGAAAAGACAGACGCGACCTTCGGAAGCCAGGAGTGCGATATCGCGAGCGTTCGACGTTCCGTCATCTCAGCTGGGAGGAACGCGGGCACGTACGAGGGCTCCTTCTCCCGTTCCGTCGGACGCCTAAACAATGACGTTCCATCCATCCGATCACAGTAAGCCTTTCGATACCCACGTGAATAAAACAACATTTGTCTTCCTCTATGTCGTTCAATGTGTTTCGCAAACCGTGTATTGTTCTCCGTACAGAGGCGCTTTCCTCATAGTCATATCCACGTTATCAAATAAATTCTACTGAATCCAATAAAATTCCACGGGACGTAACAATATATACTAGGTGCGCAACTAAGTTTCCGGTTTTTTGATCAATGAAAAATGGAAAATTTCAAGAGAAATACAAAAATCGGTTTATTCAAAGTATTGTCCCTCGTTAGCTACACATTTTTGCCATCTCTCTGGCAATACATGAATATCGCGACGATAAAACGATGCGTCTTTGGACCGAAACCATTCATCCAACCAATTTTGCACTTCTTCGAAATTGGCCAAGTGTTGCCCAGCAAAGTCAAGCGCCATCGACCGGAACAAGTGATAATCGGAAGGGGCCAGGTCTGGCGAATACGGCGGATGCGGTAGCAGATCCCATTTCAGCGTTTTGATGGTGTCTTGGACGATGGACGATGGAAGTGCGATGGCACGGAGCGTTGTCGTGCTGCAATATCACTCGTTCGTGTCTCGTGTCCCATTCTGGCCGTTTTTCGAGCAATGCATGGTTCAAATTGATCAGTTGTTGTCGGTAGCGATGCTCATTGACAATTTCGCCCGGTTTCAGCAGCTCATAGTACACGATTCCTTTCTAGTCCCACCAAACACAGAGCATTGTCTTCTTTCCGAAGCGATTTGGCCGTGCCGTCGATGTTGATTGACTTGGTTTCACCATGTGAAAGCCACGATTTTTTGCGTTTTGGATTCTCGAAATATATCCACTTCTCAGCGCCAGTAACAATTCGATGCAGGAAACTCTTTCTTTCATGCCGTAAAAGCAAAATTTCGGAAGTGGCTCTTCGATTTTCCATCTGTCTCTCAGTCAACTCATGCGGCACCCCTTTTCCTTCCTTTTGAATTTTTCCCATGGCATGCAAACATTTGGAAATACCTTGGCGAGTAATGTTTTATACCTCCTCAAGTTGATCTTGTGTTTGCGTATCATCTTCATCCAATAACGCTTGCAGATCGGCGTCCTCAATTGTTTTTGGTCTTCCGGAGCACTCCTTGTCCTCAGTGTCGAAATCGCTACTTCTGAAGTGTTTAAACCAATCTTCACAGGTAGTTTTCGGTGGTGCATGTTCGCCGTAGGCCTCATTAAGCAAACGACATGCTTCAGATGCACTTTTTTTCAAGTTAAAGCAGAAAAGCAAAGCTTCCCGCAAATGCTGTTTATTTGGTAGAAAACTCGATATCTTCGTTGTTAGAAAAATATTTTTGCGTTGCGATATGTGTTGGTATTACGACTGGTTATTGTTAACAGATGTCCAAGTTATAAAAAAAACACAACTTCAGACATGTATGTCGACTACATGTGTCGTTAGTGCTATCCATGTGTGAAACCCGGAAACTTAGTTGCGCATCTAGTATACGTTGGATTAGCATTACATATTTTGAAATTCGTAAACATCACAATATATCAATAAGATATTTCTCAGATGTCAGTCGATTTCTAACTTGCGGAATGTCCCATTAATTCCGAATAATTCATCCGCATTTATTACGTAATCAGTTCGCAGAGACTCGTTGCTCTTAACTTTTTCTTGCTCCAGTAACCATTCCCTTCGTTCCAACAATTTCACATGCCACATATCTGGAATAAGATAACATCAAAATAAGGTCATAAAATTTCAAGCTATCTTCCTATGTCCAAATAATGACTATTTAAATTTTTTAGTCTATAAATATTAACGGATTTATATATTATGAAGGAATGAATAATTATTGTTATTAGATATCGAAGAAGGGCAGACATGATTTTTCATAAAAAGAAAAACCGAATTGAAAGTACCATACTTTTGATCTGCGCGATCTGACTCTTTTATACACATTTAAGTTGAAATTATAAAATTATTAAGAAATGTATGTATTCGTAATATCGATCGATGCAGTACCTGATAAAGCTTCCAATGACGGTTCCTTACCGCCATAATCCGCGGGTAAATTAGATTTTGATATTATTTCACATATTGATTCTATTCCGGATTCGAAAACTTTCACCTAAAAATGTCACTGTTGGTCAAAGTCTCACAATTTGATTTAAAAATTAAATGTTTGCATAATGACAATTAGCATAATGACAATTATACTACAGATATGAATTTTGTGAATGTTTGTAATATCATTTTGTATTTACTCTCTCATAAATTTTTGGACTCATAAACGCTTTTATTAACTGTAAGAGTCTACCGATATAAGATGGTGCGTTTATCATATAAATTCCTTTGTATCTCAAACCGTATGCTTCCTGAACAGTTTAAACAAATCACAAATTAATTTGAGCAAGACATCATATAGTGTATGTGAGGTGCGGTTACTTACCAGGCAAAGGTCATACTTTCTTATAAGGCTTGGTATGCATTTAAGCAAATGATTAAAAGTAAAATAAGCACAATCAACTATTATAATATTAGAATTTACCCTGTTTTCCTCTATACATATGTCTATTAACATGCATGTGTATCTGTAACGTGAAGAAATAATACAATACATATCTTTCATCGATTTTATTTTATTTTTTCATTTTCAATGAATTTGTATATTCTATGGACTTGTCTTACGTTCGTAAAATCGCAACGAGAAAATCCATTTAATTTTTACGCTGACCTAATTCTTATTATAATTGATAATTCGAAAAAAATACAATCAATAGAGATGTACATTCTTTATAATTCTTTATAACCTTCTTTATAATTGTTTCTGTCAGAAACAAGCAGAACAATTGTTATTCGTTAAATTCGTGACATGATTTGTCCTGAGTTTTTTATGTTATTCGAAACTGCGGATAAACAAAAGCATGTGCGAAAAATTTTACGATTTAAATAGCTTCGCGAATTTCTTGCGTTTTCTCTTCTCATATCGTTTCTCCAAAGTCACCGATTTCAGTTTTCTTGTCAATATGCATCGCTAAGTAGAGTGTAATTGTAGCAGTAGGGAGAGATGATAAGTGTGGAAGTATCTTGTTTCTATCTCATTATCGATAATAGCAGATGAGAGGGAATGAGGAGGGGCGGGAGGAAGACAGACAGAGGAGGTTGCATGTTTAGTTTTACGGGAATAGGAAAGGAGATTAGAAGGAAAGACAAGCAGAGGAAAGAAGAGAGTAGGTTCCAAAGACTGCGTAGAGGAAGGTAGCGAGATTGATGCGCTATGATTTTGTCGGCCAAATGGCGTCCCGTGAAAATGCTCGACAATTATTCGCGAGTGCGTAATAACGATGGCGTTAAATAATAATTTATTTTAATATTAAATAAAAATTAAATAAAAATTAATTTCGTCTGCATCGAGCACCGCGTGGATTCCGATAGTATGGAATGTTTATAAGGTCGCATCAAGCTCCGCCAGATTTTTGTTTTGTTTTTATTCTTCTTTCTTTTATCATTGTTACCCGCTACCGTTGTTTCTTTTGTAGCTTCAAGCGATGATTTATACATTGCCGGTCAGGTGGTAAATGCAGCGTGTATTTAAGCTCACTTTTATCTGGGGACTTACTAAGAGTGATAGTAACTCTTATGTTGTGTGACGGTATATCTTTGGGACCAGAAAGGTGCGATGTATTTGCGGGATAAAACTTCAATGTCTCTAAGATATCGATAATACATATGTACTTGTTTTTATAATTTGTTTCTACATACTTTATCACATCCGCGAGATGAAAGATAGAAGCGTCTTCGCTTATAAATCGGAAAAAAATGATTCGATTTTTTTCCGGCGTCAGCTTTGGTAGAATTACCCATTGTCTGCAAGAAATTATGTATTTATGAAGACACGTTCAATGCAAACAAAAGGAATTGATTTTTCAAAGATAATAAATTTGCAATTATTTTTCATTTTTTTTATTAAATAGTTTTTTTCACCTACTCTTGCACTTTGTTTTATAAAAAAGCAATATTCCTAGTTATTTCATAAAATATATAGTTGCAACTTGTAGTGGTGAGAGGTAAGAGAATATTTTTTTCAAAAAGAAATAGAGATCATTTTGAAATTTTTAAATGGTGCACTCTTTTTTTACATAATATATCACGTTTGTGATAGTGCATTAAATTCATTTTCGAAGTCCTTTACAATATTATGAATATATTATAAAGAAGAAAACATGGTATCATTTTCTTGGCAGATTCACAGTGACCTTGATTTCCTTATGAAAAAGATATTTTTTATCTTTTGTCATTGCAAACTGTAATTTACATAAAATGGTCCAAAATTTGTCTTGCAACCGTTTCTTTAAACCGTCGAAAATATTTAAAAAATCGTACGAACTATTATACAGAACATCCAGTATGAATAATATAATTCATTTTGAAGAGTAAGAAAATTCAGTTTTAGATAAAAATTATCCGAAGCGAACGCGTTAGTGTTCATTTATAAATACAAATATTAAATATTTCTGATTTATTTTTCAATATATATTTTCAATATTACGTTAAATTTTAATTAGCGTTTTTGTTAGATCAGTGTCTCTGATACTAATTTCGTACGTAACATTTTGTTAAAATCACTATAAAAAATATGGTACGTAGGCTGCTGGAAAAGTTTTTGCAAACGATATGAAGAAAAACATGTAAAATTCGGTAATTATCGGCTTTATTGTTTTTCAAAGTATTCGCCTTTAAGATTAGTACACTTTTGCATACACTTGGATCAATTTTCGAAGCATTTTTTCCACTCTGAAGCTGTAACCTCAGAAATCAGTGTTCGGAATGCTTCAACAGCTACTTCAAGAGACACAAATTGCATCACCATACATCTTATGTTTGGAAACAAGAAGAAATCATTAGGTGATAAATCAAGTGAATACGGACAATGAGTCATCAATTCGACATTTTTACTGGATAAAAAATCAACAGTTTGACGTGCTGAGTGACAGCTGGCATTGTCATGATGAAGAATGATGCGACGATTTCGGTTTGTTCTACGCAATTCATTGATGACTTCTGGCAAACAAATTGTTGTATACCAATTAGCATTTATAGTCCTTCGATCCTCTAAAGCCACGGTTGCCACATGTCCGGTATAACCGAAGAAGCAAGCAATCATTTGCTTAACAACACTGCGTGAACGAACAACTTTTGTTGGTTTCGGCTCATTTTGAAAACAACATTTGTTTGTTGGTTTCGGCTCATTTTGAAACACCCAAATAGTGGATTGTTATTTACTTTCGGGTTTGTACGAATAGATCCACGTTTCGTCTCCAATAACGATGTTGTAGACCAAATTTGACCGACCTCGGTTGAATTTCTTGAGAATTTCTTTGCACCATTTCACACGAGCCTGTTTTTGAGCTTCGGTCAAATTGTGTGGGATCTAACGACTGCGAAGTTTCCGTATGTTCAAGTGATCATGTAAAATCGTGTGTATTGCTTTCATGTCAATGCCCAAAGATACCTGAATCTCGCGGTATATTATATGCTGATCTCGCTCAATCATTTCACACACATCAACATTAGTAGCAACAACAGACATGGATGGACGACCTTCACGAAATTCGTCACTAAGAAAGGTACGTCCATGCTGGAATTCGGCAAACCAATTATAAACAGTCCTATTAGATGGTGCTTCATCCCCAAAAGTCAAATGAAGTCGATCAATGCATTGTTTCAGAGTTAGACTACATTTGTAATCGTAAAAATCATTGCTCGAAAATTTGCAAGCGAAATTTCCATTTTCTCACAAAATAACTTCTTTTAAAATACTGTACACACAAAACTAATTGACTAGGTACAAACTGTCAACTGAATTATAGGTTAGAAACGTTTAATTTTATGGGTATGATAGTAACAGAACGGTGGCGCCAATGCAAGTATTAGATTGCAGAAGCTTTTCCAGCAGCCTACGTATAATACATAATAACACATTTATACTTACACGCATTTGTATACTAGAGCGATCTTCTCATTTTGTGGGTCATAGTTGGCGAAAAACTCGGGAAGCAAGGTACGAAGTGTATATTGCGAATCTAAACGTTTTTTAGCTTTCTCTAAATCCAATTTTGAAGTTAAAAGGGTGAACCGTAATCGATTATCTGAGATGTCTACGCGAAATGTAGAATTATGTTTATTATTGTGGCGTATTAATGCATATCATTCATTTTTACTAAGTTAGCATGCAATGATAGAATACATCATGGTAACTTGATCAGCTATTAATGATTGAATGGAGGTAATCGACATCCGTGTTCCGCAAATTACGAAGTAATTCGTTTTATTAGAGTTATATAGAAATTACTTTCTTTTTTAAATCTGTCAATCACAATTAATTAGATATGTTTTGTTTGGACGCAATATGTAAACAATTAATCAATATATATAATCTCTGTTTGAATTTTAAATACAAACCTTGAGGAAGATGAGCTTGTTGTTTCAACCATTGTCGAAATTTATCGAACTTCTCTTCGTAGAGTTTTTTATTCCCTCCAGCTATCTCCACCGCTTCTTCGATCGTAATATTTTCTAATTTCATAATGTCCAAGATATTGTCCGCTCCTCACAGAATTATTTTATAAGAACAATCTGAAATTAGTTCATATATGTATTTTAAATCATCTTTTAAATCATCTTTTCCCTTGCGACCTTTTAAATTTATATAAAGATGTATTGTTTAATTTCTTTGTTTATATATTTAATATTTCTTTTTTTCACACTATAAATAATGGTAGTAATTACAATAGAGCAACAGAACACCAGTAATATTAATAATTAAAACGTGAACGTTGAGACGCTCTCATAAACTCATCGTCGTATCGTTTCGACAGTCAATTTTCGACTAACTTTCACGGAATGTATCACTTGTCTTTTAAAAGTTACGATCAAAATTTTACAAACGTTGTTTGTAAAATACTGTAGAAGTGTTATGTAGAAATACATATTTGTAACATATTTGTTTCAAGTCCTTCAAGTTCTTCCATTATTCATTGGAATAAAATATATATAGTCTACATATCGACCGTTCGGATTTACTTATTGAATGGCAATATTTTATTATTTTTTCTCTTTTTCCTTTTCTTTTTTATTCCTTCCTTATTTGTTTAGCAACTGGGTCGTCGACCGGTTACATTGAATGATTTATTGACAATTTACCAAACGTAACTTCATTTAGGTTAATTTTATCCTAATGATTATTTAATCACATAAATATAACGTATATGTCAGGGATTAAGTCACATTAAGTCACTGAATATAAATCCGACGTCAAAATTGATAAATTGTAATGAAAAATAGTGTAGATCCAACATGACAGACACATATTTACTAGGTGCGCAACTAAGTTTCCGGGTTTTTTTTATCAAAATGGAAAATTTCAAGAGAAATACAAAAAATGGTTTATTCAAAGTATCGTCCCTCGCTAGCTACACATTTTTGCCATCTCTCTAGCAATACATGAATACCGCTATGATAAAACGATGCGTCTTTGGACCGAAACCATTCATCCAACCAATTTTGCACTTCTTCGAAATTGGCCAAGTGTTGCCCAGCAAAGTCAAGCGTCATCGACCGGAACAAATGATAATCGAAAGGGGCCAGGTCTGGCGAATACGGCGGGTGCGGTATCAGATCCCATTTCAGCGTTTTGATGGTGTCTTGGACGATGGACGATGGAAGTGCGATGGCACGGAGCGTTGTCGTGCTGCAATATCACTCGTTCGTGTCTCGTGTCTCATTCTGGCCGTTTTTCGAGCAATGCATGGTTCAAATTGATCAGTTGTTGTCGATAGCAATGCCCATTGACAGTTCCGCCCGGTTTTAGCAGCTCAGAGTACACGATTCCTTTCTGGCCCCACCAAACGCAGAGCATTGTCTTCTTTCCGAAGCGATTTGGCCGTGCCGTCGATGTTGATGCTTCGCCAGGTGAAAGCCGCGATTTTTTGCGTTTGGGATTCTCGAAATATATCCACTTCTCATCGCCAGTAACAATTCGATGCAGGAAACTCTTTCTTTCATGCCGCAAAAGCAAAATTTCGGAAGTGGCTCTTCGATTTTCCATCTGTCTCTCAGTCAACTCATGCGGCACCCATTTTCCTTCCTTTTGAATCTTTCCCATGGCATGTAAACATTTGGAAATACGTCGGCGAGTCATGTTTAATGCCTCCGCAAGTTGATTTTGTGTTTGCGTATCATCTTCATCCAATAACGCTTGCAGATCGGCGTCCTCAATTGTTTTTGGTCTTCCGGAGCGCTCCTTGTCCTCAGTGTCGAAATCGCCACTTCTGAAACGTTTAAACCAATCTTCACAGGTAGTTTTCGATGGTGTATGTTCGTCGTAGACCTCCTCAAGCAAACGACGTGCTTCAGCTGCACTTTTTTTCAAGTTAAAGCAGAAAAGCAAAGCTTCCCGCAAATGCTGTTTATTTGGTAGAAAACTCGATATCTTCGTTGTTAGAATAAATATTTTTGCGTTGCGATATGTGTTGGTATTACGACTGGTTATTGTTAACAGATGTCCAAGCTATAAAAAAACACAACTTCAAACATGTATGTCGACTACATGTGTCGTTAGCACCATTAATTTGTGAAACTCGGAAACTTAGCTGCGAACCTGGTAAATGATGTGTGAAATAATGATATAAATCATGTAATAGTATTTCGAATATCTCTATGGCTAACGAATTGCTTCATTGTTGCTTATTATTATCCTTTTTTGCTTTTGTACTATCTTGCTCGGTTTTCGTCTGCAACCTTGAAGTGTCGATGCGCGTGCAATTTATCTTCTTGTAAAATAATTGCACGCAGATATCAGCCTTGTAGTATCGCGTGCAATTATATAACAGCTATGCTAATAGAATGCATAAAAGATCTATTTATAACTGGTAAGAAGAATAAGAAAACCGGGATCAGACGGTCAAGGTAAAGCGCGCAGTCATGAAAGAGAACAGTTCTTCCATATAGAATATTGAGAACGGCTGGATAGATTGGAAGGAATCTTAACTAGTGAAAGGCGGATTCGGTCATTATTAAAAAAAGCGTGCGCTTTATACAGGGTGAATATTTTTAATCTTAACAGGCGTACATTTCGAAAATATGCAATTTTATATAAAAAAATCTTAATCAAGAAATGTATTTACAATTCTTGCAAAGTAATCTACCCGAATTTTTAGAAGGTATTAATTTAGAAACTAGAGGACTCATTTAGTTTCAACACGATGGTGCACCTCCGCACAAAGCTAACATTGTGCGAGACTATTTACACCAAAGATATCTCGAACATTGGATAGGATTTAACGGGTATGTTCAACAGCCTCCAAACTCCCCTGATTTAACACCTTGTGATTTTTTCTATGAAGGTTCATTAAAGGGATTGTATTTGCTACGGAGCCAATAAATTCGATCGGTATAAGAAATCGCATCATCAGAACTCTGGCAACTATTCCCGAAGAAGTCCTTCAAAGGATTATTATTGCGTTACATGATAGATTCCAAATGTGTATTAAAGTGAATGGTGATACATTTGAACAAATGTTACAAATTCACATAAATCGTGACAGGCAAGGGGGCTCACGGAAATCAAACACCCCAAAAGGAACAGATACCTACTACGTCCACGCCATTGGTCTTGGTTAGCGCTAAAAGTAGAATTAGAATAAAAGGTATATCTAAAAAATTCAAGGTGACCTCGATCTGAGCTTGAGGACAGTATGTCGAAGTCAACCAAGGTCATTATTCTTTCTTTGTCTCAAACCTAATCGTTTTAAGATAGTTTTAAGATAAGATAGATTGACTTAATCTTCACCTGTTAATATTTGAGTCTCATAACTCGAAAAGTTCTCAATAAAAAATACTTTATCATAGCGGAAAGATCTTGAAGTCAACCATAAGAATATGATATGAAAAATAGGGGGTTCCATTTGAGAAAATTAAGTTGATTATCCTGTGACCTTAAATAGATGTCCCAAGGTCAAACCCAGGTCACTATTATACGTCTCCCTCAACATTAGACAACTTTTATTTAAAAAGTCTTTTTGTAAAATTGCATATTTTCGAAATATTTGCTTGTTAAGATTAAAAATACTCACCTGTATATGCAAATATAAAAATGAATGCTAAAGGAGCCACAAACCAGTTAAGTCGACTAAAATTGATATATAATTATGGCTGTAATCTTTGTTTTTTCGAGACTAATTTTTTTTTGTTATTTTTAATATTCATTCATTCTCCAATGTTTTTGCATTTAGCTTACAGTCTACTCCAATAATTTAATAGATTTTTAGAAAAGTTGTCTATGTGAAATTAACTGAATGATAATTGGTGACATAATCAAAGTTGTAGTTGTAATAGTCAGAACGGTTGTGAACGTGAAACTAGCAATCTTTCGAGAAATTACATCTGTAATTTATATTATATATTTTGCACTTTTATTCTTTTTTATGCTATTTGTATCCTGTTTTCGATTTGTTTCTGCGCAGTATAAACACAACTTCGCTTTTATATTGCGCAGAAACAAATAAAAAACAGATATAAAACTTCATTTGAAGATAAATTTAAGTTGGAAACTCAAACAGCTGCTGAAATCATGTTTTTATAGCACCAAATATAAAACAGTCTATTTTGTAGACACTCTATTAATGTTCTTATATTTTATATTCTTACATATTGATATCGATATTTTAGTACATTTATGAATATCGCATAGTTCATAAATCTTTCTCTCGCAATATCACTCTTTATACATATACATATATATTCTCGTTTATTCTCGTTATTCCCGAGATAGAAAGCTCTCTGCGTTTTAAAGAGTTGAGACTGTCTTCGAGATTGTCTTATGATTTTTCAATAATATCAGACAATAACAGGCTGTTCTTCTATCATTATTTTCACGAAACCTCATATTTTTCGGAATAAAGATTCGTGAAAATTAGTGATCTCGGAAAGAATGTATTTTCCAATTATTCATACATTTTTTCAGTGTCTTGCCGAAAAATGCTCCCTGGAAAATCTCCACATACCTATTTTCATGGGAAAAGAAATTAATTTCGGATCACACGATTAAGAATCTAAGCGTTGCAATCAATTATTCATCCACTACAACTGCCATATTGGATCCGCCATTTTCAATTTCGGACATCTGACTACGGAATGTTCATGAGTGACCCGAAAACCCCCAGATACCGATTTTCATGGAAATCGAATGAATTTTGAACCACCTGATAAATGAATTAAATATTTTCAATAAGTTTTTCATCTACTCAAGCCACCATATTGGTGCGGCCGTTTATAATTTTTCAAAAGGCCACGTTTTTTCTTAAACTACATATAAAAACGAAAAGTTTAAGCCCTCAAGCGTTTTATTTTGACTTCATGAATTTTGTCCAGACACTTGTCCCACTTGACGTGAAACGTCCCATATACCATATATACAAGGTGTTTGAAAGTGAGATGTTGCGTTCGCTCGCTCCTCGTTGCGCGCGCTCGCCTCTTGTCGCTTACGGTTGCCCCTCACCGGGCGCGCTCGCCTATCGATGCTTACCGCGGCTGCCCACCGCTCTCTACGCGTTCATTAGCTCACAGGTTTCAATTAATAACTCGATAACTATTGCCAATTTGACATTATGGTACATGACTTTTCTTCTCGGCTACACCTAATCTATCTCCAACTATCCAACAGCTATCAAACACCCTGTATATATATATACAGGGTCATCGAAAAGTATCGGACCCCTCTAATATCTTCAGCTAGAATGCATTTTGGAGAAAATGTCCAATAGCAAAGTTGTATGGCTTCAAGCGGGAAGTAAGATGACGACCTTGACTTCGACCTTGACCATGTCCGTCAAAGTCATTTCAAAGTCAACCTTATTTTTTTTAATGGAACCCCCAACATTTTATTGCATATTCTTATAGATTATCTCGAGAGCTTCCCAAAATACTATAATAAAACATTTTTTCATTAAGTATTTTTTGAGTTATAAAGGTTTGAAGTTAACAATTTGTTAAGTGATATGTGATTCCGACTAGTTAAGGCAAGAGTGGTGTGTGATTCCGACCGGTTAAGGCAAGAGTGGTGTGTGATTCCGACCGGTTAAGGCAAGAGTGGTGTGTGATTCCGACCGGTTAAGGCAAGAGTGGTGTGTGATTCCGACCAGTTAAGGCAAGAGTGGTGTGTGACTCCGACCAGTTAAGGCAAGAGTGGTGTGTGATTCCGATCAGTTAAGGCGAATTTCATTCCAATTGGTCAGCTTGGGCAAAATATTCAATTGTACCAAACAATTTACAACAAATGTTCAAGTTGTTGCCCTTCAACAGCCTGGCAATGTGCCAATCTGTTATAAACAACTGAAACCGCATTCCGGAACGTTTCCGGCGGTATTAGTTCTATCTCTCGAGTTATTCTCCCTCTTAAGTCATCTAAATCTTGAGGCTTGGTGGCATAAACTTTACTTTTCAAGTAACCCCACAAAAAAATGTCAAATAGGGTCAAGTTCGGAGACCGAGGTGGCCACTCAATATGACCCCTTCGCCCTCTCCATCTGTCCTGAAAGACCTCATTCAAATATTGACGGACAATGACATCATAATGAGGTGGAGCTCCATCCTGTTGGAAATAAATTTCATCCATATTTCCACCAGCTATGTCTCGAATAGCTGGAACAATTTGTTCGCGAAGCATGACTGTGTATACTACTGTGTGCTGTCAAATTGCCTTCAATGAAGAAAGGACCAACTGGTCTACCATTAAGAATACCAGCCCATATGTTAACTTTTTGTGGATATTGGGTATGATTGTCTCTTTTCCAATGAGGATTAACGTCACTCCAGTATCTGCAATTGTGTCTATTTACATTTCCAGTCAGTTCAAATGTTGCCTCATCAGAGAAAACAATATTATTAAGTAATAGAGAATCGTCGACAATTATCTCCATCATAAGATCACAAAATTCGATGCGTCTATCAAAATCATCTTCGGACAACTCTTGGACCAAATGGAGTTTGTATGGATGCCATTTATTCAATTTCAGAATTTTACTGACAGATGCATGACCGATTTCGTGTTCTTGTGCAACGCGATTGATGAAAATGTGATGGAGACTTTCAACGAAAGACTGTAAAACATCTAATGCCTTATCATTATTTGTTGCTGTTTTACGTCTACCAGATCTTGGGCGGTTTTTAACGCTATCAATGTCCTCGAAATGTTGAATAGTACGGATTACAGTACTTTTGGAGATCCTATTATTTTCATTCCGAAAATTTTCATTAAATAATCGCGTTACTGTTTTACACCCTCTTTGTTGATCTCCCCATCCTCACATCATTAACAGTGTTATTCGATCTCTTTCAGAAAGCTCCGCCATTCTTAATTAGAGCAAAGAAGAATTAAACAGGTAAGTGATAGGAAATTGATCTAAATAATTAAGTAGAGAAAAATACTAATTATTAAGTGTTGGTCCAACTATCGATTTGTTTATTTCAACCAGCACTAGCAAAAAGCTTGTTGAGCAATTGAAAATCTAATAGATCAATTAATAATATTTACGAAAAAATTCTGGGCTATTGGAAACAAAATGAAGATGTTTGGGACAATCAATTGAAGCGCAATGGCTTCTTTTGTTACAGAAACAATTTTTGGAGCTGTTCGTTTTTGTCCACGAGGTGACTGCTGCTCGCTGAGAAGAAGACAGCACTGCATCAAAGATTCAAATCAGTGATCCGCATTGTTTGCTCAAGAGCTTGTATTATTATTGGTGCCTGCGAGAGTGAGACAATAAAGATCGGCCCCGCCAATGCTTTCGGGCAACTTCTCGCGATCACCTTCGGACAGTTTTCCGCCATAGCCTACTAGCATAACCGCTTGAAGCCGTACAACTTTGCTATTGGACATTTTTCCAAAATGCATTCTTACTGAAAATATTAGGGGGAGTCGATACTTTTCGATTAATGTATTTTCTTTAAACCAATTAATTGGTCTCATTATTTCGCGCACAAAAGTATTAAGGTTATGATTACTGCAAACTAAATAATATTTTACAAGATATTTTACATTTTGTGTCAAAAAATTGTTAACTTCAAACCTTTATAACTTAAAAAGTATTTAATGAAAAAATGTTTGATTATAATGTTTTAGAAAACTCTCGAGATAAGCTATAAGAATATGCAATAAAATGTTGGGAGTTCTATTTAAAAAATAAGGTTGACCTTGAAATGACCTTAAAGGACATGGTCAAGGTCAAAGTCAGGATCATCATCTTACTCCCCGCTTGAAACCATACAACTTTGCTATTGGACATTTTCTCCAAAATGCATTCTAACTGAAGATATTAGAGGGGTCCGATACTTTTCGATGACCCTGTATATATATATATATATATATATATATATATTCTTTCCTTTACTTTCACTTTTATATTAATATTCAAGAACACAATTCGCTATGTAGATATCCCAGATAGCACAGGATATTCTATGGATGTCCATTTTATGTCCTCTTTATGTGCGCATGTCCATGGACAAAGACTGAATAAAGGATAAAGACTGTGTTCCGATATTTACTGCCAGTACTGAAAATATATATTTCATGTCACATATTTTATGTTACATATATTATAAATTTCAGTGCCACAAACTATATAAGGTATATAAAAAGTACAGGGACGATGAAATATCACAAAAACTAAACATTTTAGAAAAAATTGTTTCAAATAAAAATTGTAGGGTTTCAAAAGATCTATTTACCAACATTATGAGTTTGACCTTGAGTGGCGTCGCTAAGGTCAAGACAAACTCACTTTGAATTTTCTAAATGCGATCCCCTGTTTTTATTGCATATTGTTATAGACCTTCTTCAGACATTTTCAAAGCACTATAATTTTTTCTACTTTGAATAAGTCGTTTAGGAATGTCTATTAATTCTATTCTGAAAAAAACTGATTTCAAGCGAAAAAGATTATGCTTCCCGCATTACTTTCTCTTTTACTAATAACAGTGCAAAAAAATGCTTGTAAATTGTAATCTGCAAGCGTCGCGGCATTTGCAATTTTCGTGCAGTCAAGCACACGCCATTCACTTTTATAGCGTATTTTTCTTTAATCTCGTATAATATTGGCATTACACCATGAGCACTAGCTTCATCACAGTTCGTCTTGCTGATTAGTTTGTAATTTTAGGATTAATACAAGTTTGTCAATTAACGCGGCGTTCTCACAAAATGTCCTACGTTCGCCTGCGCTTTTTTCGCCTTTTTTTCAGCAACGGTTAAATATATTAGCGATAGAATATAGCAAATATAGCGATAGAATCAATTTCTGCATAGACTGTTATGCTGGGATAAGAGCTTTACATTTGTAGAATTAATAGACATTCCATTATTAAAGGCGTGAGAGCGGGTGTAGTATTCGGTTTCAAGTCCACGCGCTGTGTTTACTGTTGTATTGTCGACGACCGCAAAAAACTGATTTCAAACAACAGGTTGCAAACAGGTTTGTCCAAGCGTAAATTGTACACAAGTTATGTTGCGCAGAATAGTTACTCAATGACGTAAAAGAAGTAAAAAATTATAAGAAAAAACTGAGAAAAAACTGCGGAAAAACTGCCAAGGAAAAACTGCGGAAGATCTGCTGAGGAAAAAAACTGCACCTGGAGACGATTCTGTCGCGATTCTTATATTATATACAAGGTGCGTCCGAGAAGTTCGGTGAATGGTTCTATATTTTAAAATTCGCGCTGGTTAGGATTATGCGCCCACGCATACGCTTTGAGAGACATGTCAATAAGCGTCCCGTATTGTGCAAATCACCAAAGTGAAGCAGAGCACGCTGCGACCAATCTAACGGAGTCAGTGTGAGAACTCGCGTGATTGCACAATGGAGCGCAAAATGGAGCAACGCGTTAACATGAAGTTTTGCTTCAAATTAGGGAAAACGACGACGAAGACTCATGAAATGTTAATGAAAATGTACGGTGTTGAAACAGTGAGTAAAAAGTGTGTTTTTATGTGGTTTAAACGCTTTAGAGACGGAAAGGAAGGTGTCGAGGATGAGCTGCGTTCGGGTCGACCTTCAACAAGCACAGCCCCAGACAACATCGAACAAGTGCGACGGATGCTTGCGGATGATCGGCGGCTGTCTTTGAGAATGATAGCAGAAGATTTGAAGATCAGCAAAGAGAATGTAAGCACTATTGTTCACGAACATTTGAAAAAGCGGAAGATTTGTGCCCGTCTTATACCGCACAAGCTGACAGAGGAGCAGAAGCAAAATCGGATGGAAACGTCTAGAGATTTCATCGACATGTCTGACCGGATTCCGCAGTTTTAATCCTGAAAGGCTTACGCTTCGCAGACGTTGCGAATATCTAACAACGCGTGAGAACGGTGCTTCGAGCGATTCCAAAAGAAGCGTTTGCTGACAGTTTCCAGCAACTATACACCCGATGTTAGAAGTGTGTTGTAGCTAATGGTGATTATTTTGAAGGCCAGTAAAGATATTTTCCCAGACAGCACATGTCCAAAACTGAGACATAAGACGTCTTTAAGACATCTTTAAGTCGTCTTTAAGATGTCTGAAAATAAGACATCTTTAAGTCGTCTTAAAGACGTCTTATGTCCCAGTTTTGGACATTGTGCTATCTGGGTTGTTTGTATAATAACTCCTGTTTCCTTTATTTTATGACACCATTCACCGAACTTTTCGGACACACCTTGTAGATCATCGGAGGCAGGAGGCGCTAAGATGGAATTATCAAAAAAGAAAATGAGCCTTGGAGACGGGGTGGGACCCTGAGAAGAGACCAATAGTGTCGAAGGTCTGATTGGTATTTTTAATTATTGGTCCTGATCGAGCTTTGTGAGAAAAAGTTTTAGCCATTAGAAATTAAGGGCGAGGTTAAGAAAATCTGGTGAGAGAAGATGGTTTGTTTTTGAAGATATGGATCTTTAGGTATAGATGGAATATGGGGTGGAAAGTAGGGATAGGCGATCTTCATCGATTAATCGAAAAACCCGATAGTCTTTCTTCAATTAATTGATGTTTTCCGATGATTTTACTTTTACTCAATTAATCGATCTTTGATGATTTTTTCTCAACATCGGTAACCGATTTTTATTTTTTTTAAATAGAGGATTTTTGTAATATCGTCTTTTAGATACGTAAATGAAATTTATGAATGTTAAGGGGATCCTGGAATCGTCTATCATATTTTACTGACACATTGATTTTAATCTTTTCAAACACTAATCTTTTTATTAGCTGCACAGATTGAAAAATCTTTTTGCATAATAGAAATACTTATAATAACGAAGTCCGGAAGACAAATTTCATTTAAAATTCAATGAAAAATTAAAAAATTACAGTTTCGTTATTATGTTCTGTGTCAGCTCGTAACTTTACTTATTAATTATAAAAGTTCTGCAGTTTATCCATGCGAAAGCTTTTGCTTCCGGGTTAGTCATAATATAAAAGAATAATACTGAAGTAACAGAAATGAGCTTAGAAGTCAGTGTAAAAAGATTAGTGTTCGAAAAAAAATGTATTGGATACGGAATTGTGTTTGCTACATTTTGGGGTAAAACAGAACAGTAGATTAGTTCCGCATAATCATGATCGATGGAACTGCAGGCAAACACAATCGTACTATCCTTGTCTGTTTCATGCGTGGAGTAATGTTATGACAAGGAAACTGTAATTGTTAAATTTTTCATTGAATTTTACATAAAACTTTGTCTTCTGGCATTCGTTATTATAAGTACTTTCATTGTGCAAAAGGATTTTTCAATCTGTGCAGCTAATGAAAAGATTAGTGTTTAAAACTCTCTCGTATCTTTATTTCCCTTGTTACGTCTTGGACAAGCCATAGAGTATGCGTCGAGTTAGATTTACAATTCAGTTTCGAATTTGACGCGCTTTTAGCTATTTTTGAGATATTGAGTGTTTAAAAGAGGAATATATTTATTCCTCTTTTATTGTCTCTAAAGGCTGGTTGCAGTTGGGTTCTTTGAATTTTCCGTTATTACTATTATTATTAATATATAAGCCGGTAGATGAATTATCTTTACTTTCAGATATATGTATTATGAATTCTTCATACTATATCTATAATGGCTGATTTTTCTTTCGCCTGAACGTGGTTAACAAAAAGAAGAATATTTGAGAAAAGACTCACTTGAATTTACTCGCAGCTTCAAATTTAATAAATGTTGAAATTTAATAAATGAAATTTAATAAATGTTGTGTAATCGATACCGGAAAGCCCGAGAATAATTATTTCCTTACCTCACTTTTCTGGTTTTGCCCTGTCGGTGAGGATTTCCGATTGAAATGTTCCAGCTTGAATTGAGAAACACGACCGTTCCAAGAATGGATTTCCCGGCTCTTCGACACGACCGTTCTAACGACTTGATTTTTTCTTTCTGATACGCGCCCGCATCTAGCCGCGGCTTTTATAGACGCGGTCTCGCCACTACGAACATCAGTTAAGCGTCTTTTCGGACTTACAATGTATAATTTATAATATAAAAAATATAAAATCCTTATAATCTAATTCCTGAAGTTACAATTCCTCCTAAAACTTAGTTTTCCTAAAACTATTTATAATTAAGCGTAATACATAGAGTTTCAATTGTTCCATTATTAGTTAATTTAATGAATAAAATTGCGTTATAAAGGAAGGGAAGCATCATAGTTTGTTTTCTTTATAATGATTTAGAATTTTAGAGTTTCCCTGAATAATTGGATGTATAATTTTGAATGATTCGATTCGGACATAGTAAGTATTAAAATTAGCGACAGTAAAAGTAAATTTTTATAAATCTAAAGTAAGTATAGGTAGACAATTTTGATTTTACGGGGTGTACAAATTAGTTCGGTCCATTTTCAAAAGATGGCTCCGACTGTTATGAATGGTTCATAGTGACTGTCGATTTTGACGGTTTCAGAGAGATTAGATATCTGCCAATAATATTCAGTTTATATCGCTTTGAGTTTCATACAAAAACCTTTTTACAATGTTGAAAATGTCGAATTTTGTGTTAACTAAGCAGCATTTGCGGGAGGTTTTAGTTTCCTGCTTTAACTGGAAGGAAAGTGCAACTGAAGCCCATCGAATGCTTGTTGAAATTTATGGTGACGCTGCTCCAACTGATAAATCATGTAGGGAATGATTTCGACGTTTCAAGGATGGGGATTTCAGTGTCGAAGACAAGCCTCGCTCTGGACAGCCAAAAAAATTCGAGGACAAAGAATTAGAGGCATTACTCGAAGAAGATCAGAGTCAAACGCAAGAGGAGCTTGCAGAATCATTGGGAATGACTCAACAAGCCGTTTCCTTACGATTGAGAAACATGGGAATTATTTAAATACAAGGAAATTGGATGCCTTATGAATTGAAACCGAGAGACGTTGAAAGGCGTTCTTCATGACAACGCTCGGCCTCATATCGCAAAAGTCGTAAAAAAAATATTTGGAAACGCTCAAATGGGATGTTTTGCCGCACCCGCCGTATTCTCCGGACATTGCTCCTTCTGATTATTGGTTGTTCCGAAGGATGCAGCACAATTTGGCATGTCACCGGTTCACTTCTTTTGCAGATATCAAAAATTGGCTCTAAACTTGGATCGCCTCAAAAGACGAGTCATTTTTTTCGAGATGTAATTCGAAAATTGCCTGAGAAATGGGAGAAAGTAGTAGCCAGCGATGGAAAATATTTTAATTGATCTGTTCATTCACTTTGTTTTGAAATAAATATATCTTTTAACACAAAAAAACGGACCGAACTAATTTGTACTCCCAATAGTATTCGAATGATTATACATATATGTTCTGATTTTTAAATAAATTGGAAAAATTATTTAATTCAAACGAACACTTAACAAAAGAATCTATAGAATAAAGGAATATGATGAAATCTCTATTTCGAGTATTTGTTTGGGAAGGTTCTACCAGAAAGAAGCCTGAGAGCAGCCACCGGGCGAAAGCATATGTTTAGGGTTTTTGTTGTCCTCTTGCTCTCTCGTCGATTGCAAGTGGAGGGTAGGTTCCTAAATCAACCTAGGTGTGTTCTTTTCCTTTGGTCTCTTTATTGCGCACGTGCCTGCCAATTGCAGAGCACGTGAATCACAGATGTGGCGTATGCGCCTCGAAGGTACAAAAACAATTTCTGCGCTCGCACGGCATACGAGTCACAGCGAAAGAGCGAACGAGCGGACGATAGAGCGAGAGCGAGCAGGGCGAGTGTGCAAGCAGGGAGGCGAGAAAGAGGCAAAGAGCCGGTCACGTCCGCAGCTACGGAGCCGGACTAGCACGAGGAAGACGCTGCGTAAGCTCACACCACCTGTTTGTCTCTTTCGAGAGTGGCCGGATCTTCCTTCCGGAGATCGCGGCCCGAGACGTTGGTGTCGACCACCGTGTGGCGGTGGCGATCTTTAGCGGAGTCCGTCGAACGGCGAAGTCGTCGACGGCTCGAACCAACGAGCTCTTTGTGCGTGCGAAGCGATCGGGCGAGCGGAGGCTAGCCGTCTCGCCTGCTGCGTCGGTTAACTTGTAAATATATTGCATGTTGAGACAAACAGACGAGTCCGGGTTAGTAGTAATACTCTATTTTACGACCCCGCCCACCTCCGACTTAAATAACGGGGAGCTAGTCGGTCCAGCACGGGGCGGGCAGCGGGGATCGCGATTCGACGGTAACTTTGGTGAATTTTGGCGAGGATCGGTGATACGGTCGCCTCCGTACCTAGCGCCCACAACTTTGGTGGTATTTTGAGCAATATACGATTTGGGTCGGATCGAACCCGCCGTGTCCCGCTACCGGCGGAATTCCTTGCGACGGGCAATCTTGCGCGGATCTCCTTTATCGATTAGTGAAAAACGTCGCAGCGTGCGTGCGTGCGTGCGTGCGTACGTGCGTGCATGTGTGTGTGTGTGTATGGCCAAATTATTACTAAAATACTGCTATCCCTACGAACGTTTAGCTCATTGTCAAATGGTAGAAGGAAGACAATTTGAACATTTAATTATTTGAAAAATGTTGCACATCTTAAAAGATGAGATAGTCACTTTATACAACAGAAAGGGTTTGGAGTCATGAAATACAACGGGAGTGACGAACCGTGGGGTCCTTGTTTCTGTTATACAGGGTGCACGATTTATCTGAAGACATTGAAATATCTCGAGAACTATGCATTGGATAAAAAAAAGTGGTTAATGAAAGTTGTTAGTCTCGAAGGGGGACATCCAATGATACCAAACTCGACCTCTCACCCCACCCCCTGGAGGTGGGGGTTGGGGGCAACTTTGAAATCTTAAATGGAAACTCCCATTTTTTATTGCAGATACGGATTCTACGCCATAAAATACGTAAATTTTGTCCGAAACTTCTTTTTTGATTCGTGATAGATGGCGCTGTAATCGCAAAAAATTATATTTTCCGCAATTCTCCAGAAATGATCATTGGATTGAGAAATAAAAAATACCTGTTCAATATTTTTAAAGAACATAATAAAAGTTAATCCCCCCATCCTCTCGGGGTAGGGTGGGTGATAACGTTCAAATCTCAAATGGGGACCCACATTTTTCATTGCAGAATTAGATTGTAAGTGAAATTTTTATTGAAACAATTTTTTTCATTCGTGATAGATAGCGTTGAATTTTTCCGAGAAACTACTTTTAGCGTTACACAGGAACAACGACGAGGACGTAGTAGTTTTATGTTCCCTTCGGGTGCTTTTTTAATGTGAGTCCCCTTGCCTTGAGATTTGAACGTTACCACCCACCCTACCTCGAGAGGATGGGGGGGAATAACTTTTAATATGTTCTTTAAAAATATTGAACAGGTATTTTTTATTTCTCAATCCAATGATCATTTCTGGAGAATTGCGGAAAATATAATTTTTTGCAATTACAGCGCCATCTATCACGAATAAAAAAAAAAGTTTCGGACAAAATTTATGTATTTCGTGGCGTAGAATCCATATCTGCAATAAAAAATGGGGGTTTCCATTTAAGATTTCAAAGTTGCCCCCAACCCCCACCCCCAGGGGGTGGGATGGGAGGTCGAGTTTGGTATCATTGGATGTCCCCCTTCGAGACTAACAACTTTCATTAACCACTTTTTTTTATCCAATGCATAGTTCTCGAGATATTTCAATGTCTTCAGATAAATCGTGCACCCTGTATGACACGTAAACGCACGCACACACACGTACACACAGGCGCACGCACACACACACACACACACACACACACACACACACACACACACACACGCACGCACGCACGCACACACACACACACACACACCCACACCCACACACACCCACACTCACACACACACACACACACACCACGCACGCACGCACGCACGCACGCACGCACGCACGCACGCACGCACACACACACACATGCACACACATGCACACACAAACAAGAGATGTAAATCCGATCGTGTAACCTCCACGCGGTACACCTTGAGTAATGCTAATGCCGACGGTACTGTAACTTTGTAGCTTCATAACTCGGGATGTACTTAACAAAAAAATACTTCATTGTAGTGTTTTGGAAAGCTCTTGGAATACGTTATAAGAATATGCCAAAAAAGTAGGGCGTTCCATTTGAAAAGTTCAAGATGACTTTGCCCTGAGCAAAGCACTCAAAGTAAGCTACAAGAATATGTAATAAAAAGTAGGGAATTCCATTTACAAATATCAGGTTGACCTTGATCTGACCTTATTGGCGCTAGCCAAGGTCAAACTGATAAGAGCAGTAAATAGATCATTTAAACCTTACAACTTTTGCCTGAAACATTTTTTCCAAAAACTGATTGTTTTCGAGATATTTTATCGTTCGGAGAGATCTTTTTGAGAACCCTGTATATACAGGGTGTCCCATTTAACCTGACAAATCGTAATATCTGGAAAACTACATGTCGGATCAAAAAAAGTGGATAATGAAATTTGTTCGTCTCGAAAGGGGACATCCAATGATATCAAACTCGACCTCCCACCCCACTCCCGGGGTGGAGGTAGGGAGCAACTTTGAAATCTTAAATGGGAATCCCCATTTTTTATTGCAGATTCGGATTCTACGCCACAAAATACGTAAATTTCGTTCGGAACTTTTTTTTTATTCGTGATAGATGACACTGTAATCGCAAAAAATTAGATTTTCTGCAATTCTCCAGAAATGATCATTGGATTGAAAAATAAAAAAATACCTGTTCAATATTTTTAAAAATATTTTTAGAAAACATAATAACAGTTATTGCCCTCCATCCCCTCGAGGTAGAGTGGGTGGTAACGTTCTGTTACGTCCTGTAGATTTAATTAGTAAAAATTCTTTCCTCTCGCAGATTTATATTCTCCTAATATAACTATAATAGGAATATATACATATATAAATATAAATTAGGAAACAGACCCATCTGGCGAACAGCCGT